TGTGATGAGGTCACACACCCCAACCTCAGTACACTTTTTTGTCTTTTTTGAGACAGGGTCTCACTATGCAGTTCAGGCTGGCCTTGAACTCACCTATGTGGCCCAGACTGGCCTTGAACTCACAATGATCCTCCTACCTCAGCCTCCCAAGTGCTGGGATTACTGGCGTGCGCCACTATGCCTGGCTGTAAAGAAAGATAAACTTTAGGCTTTTATAGGTAAGTAGATGCAACTAGCGACCATGCTCATAAGTGAAATAAATCAGACCCACATGTATAAACACTGTATTGTCTCCCTAGTGTAAGAACCTGAACGAGTAAATAAAACCTGAAAGGTACAATAGTGTGCAAGGGCAAGAAACTGCTCAAAAGAACAACTGAGACAAGGAAAAGGAGAAAAAGGAAGGGAAAAAAATATACAAGATAGCTAAGATAATTGTACTACTAATTTCTATTTTTTTTTTTTCCTATTGGTTTATTGAAAGGAACAGTTAATGTTTGCCTGTATCTGGTTATCTGAGCAACTACTTTGAAGATAACAATATGTAATACAACACCCATTGTTAACTTCCAATCATCTTGTTTTTTTAAAAAAAGATTCACTGTAATCAACTATAAAACTAAATATAAACTGGTATTACAGCATAGTATTTCAAGACTGATTTTAAGAACCAGGAGGGAATCTATCATCATCCTGCCTGTCTGCCTCAGGGCACTTTGCAAAGTAATGTAAATGTCTGGGTAGGAGAAAACATCACAAGGATTCCTGCGGGAATGTGTACGGCAGGCTATTACAGAGCAGGAAGTTGCACAGGGACCCCGCCAGAAATTAGCATAAGGATTTCCTTAAGTCTGGCTCAATGACAACTGTGCAGGGTGAGAAGTTCTGAGGTGGGCAGAGAGCAAGTGTAAAGTAGGGATCAAATAAGAGATACCGAGGAATACAGTTGTGAAAGACACTGAAGTTCTGGCCAGCCAATAGAGCAAGCCCTGCCAGTAATTCAACTACCTGTCCGCACGAAACGACGCTTTTTATTTTATTTTATTTTATTTTATTTTATTTTTTGTCTTTTTGAGACAGGGTCTCGCTATGCAGTTCAGGCTGGCCTTGAACTCACTTTGTAGCCCAGGCTGGTCTCAAACTCGGAACGAAAAAGAAAAGCAATCTAAGCAGAACTGGAAATCATACAGATGCTGGAATGAGCAATTAGTTTTAAACAGTTAACACACATTCCAAATATATATATATATATATTTTTTTTTTGGTCTGAGTTCAGGCTGTCCTTGAGCTCACTTTGTATTGTAGGCTGGCCTCAAACTCACAGCGATGCTCCTGCCTCAGTCTCCACGATTGCTGGGATTACAGACATGCACTGCCATGCCATGCTGAAAATATATTCTTAAATGAAAACTTCACTGAATGATTTTAACAACATAAAGGACACTGAAGCCTGGCAAAGTTGTGCATGCCTGTAATTCTAGCACTCAGCAGGCTGAGGCAGAAGGATCACCACAAGTTTGAGAACAGCCTGGACTACACTGTGAGTTCAAGGCCAGCCTGGACTACACAGTGAGACCTTGTCTCCAATGAAAAAATAGATAATAAAGAAAACAATGCAGGATAATGAAAACTGTCTTAGTCACTTTCCTTGTCACTAGGATAAAACATCTGACACAAGAAATTTATTTTGACTTCTAGTTTTAGAAGTTCTAGTTCATGTTCAGCAGTCTCAAAAGATCACACAGTGGGGGGCTGGGGATTTAGCTTAGTGGCAAAGTGCCTGCCTGGCAAGCGCAAGGCCGTGAGTTCGATTCCTGGTACCGGAAGAAAAACAAAACAAAATAAAAACAAACAAACAAAGATCACACAGTGGAAGGGCCTGGGCAAGCGAAAGCAGCTCACATCATGGTGGTCAGGAGGTAGAGATCAAAGAGATGAGCCAGGGAGGGAGACACACCCTTGCAGGTCACACCTTCAGTGACCCACCTCTCCTAAGTTCTATCTCCTAAGAGAATATTCAGCTGTAATCTAGTCCCCATAATTCAATCATTTTCTTAAAGGGTAAACTGAACCCAAAGCCTGTGGGAGATATTCTTTCTAGAGCTAAACCATAACATTCAACCTCTGACCCCCAAAAGATACATGCACATCTCTTTATGTGAAAAGCCTTTAGTCCATCTCTAAGATTTTGCTAAATTGTAACAGTTCTAGCATTGCTGAAAAGACCAAGGCAGGCTCTTTAAGACTCAAGGCAAACTCAGCTGAAAGCCACTGTAAAAAAAGTTAAACACTGCTAACATACAATGATACTGGATAAATATTCCCATTGCAAAAGGGACAAATAGTAAGGTGGAAGGGAATGGGACTAAAGTAAAATCCAAACCCAGAAAGGCAAACATTAAATCCTATAGCTCTGTGTTCAGCACCCAGGGCAAGTTACAATGAAGTGTGAATCTAAACAGCTTGGGTGTTCCCATCTCCATGGTATGGTATGTTGCAGCCCTCATGGCCTTGTTCTTGGATTGGCTCTGCTCAATGACCATCACTTTCTTCAGTGAATATTCCACATTCCTGCATCCTCGAAATTCCTAGGGTCTCAACTGCACTTTTAACTTTACACTCACAGCTGCATGCATTGCCCTCTCAAGGGAACACTGGCTGGCCTCCCAGGCCTTCTGAAATCTGGGTGGAAGGCTCCCTGATGCACAACTTTTGCACTCCACTCCTGTAAAACGGCACCACTTGGGTGATGCCAAGATTTGCTGCCTGTCAGAGCGGTAGCCAGGTCCCCTTGGATCATAGCTACAAGGCCCTGAAGTGCCTGGGTTGCTGAGCACTGTAAATTGAAATCTGGATAATCAATTCTCTAGGTGGCCCTTCTATAGCAGAGTATCTTGGGACTCTCAAAGAAAAATTTTAAAGTTTACCTAAACTGAATATGGTGACACATACCCGTAATCCCAGCACTCAGCTGAGGCAGGGGCATTGCCTGGAGTTTGAGGCCAACCTGGGCTACATAAGTGAGGTCAAGACCAGCCTACACTGTAGAGAAGCTGTCTCAAAAGACAAGAACAAAGTTTACCTTTCCCCTTCTTTACCCCCGAACCAGGGAAGGGTGGAGTCTTGCTGATTCCTGAGATGCCTTCATTCTTGAGAGGCTGTTCTGACTGCAAGTACTTGGCTTGTTTGTTTGTTTTTTTTTTTTTGGCTTTTTTCCGGTACCGGGAACCAAACTCACGACCTTCCGCTTGCCAGGCAGGTGCTTTGCTGTTGAGCTAAATCCCCAGCCCCTGTTTTTTTTTGTTTGTTTGTTTTTTGTTTTTTTTGTACTTGGCTTCTTGTTAAAATTTTTTCAGCAGTTTTGCTCTCCAAGGCATCAATTTCTCAGGCACTTCTTCTTCTTTCCCTTTTTGTTCTGTCCAAGTGACAAGCCTATTGGTTGCTGCCATCTACATTCAGTGTGGGTCTTCCCCTCAATCTGTATGCCTACATCTCCGTCATCTACAGGTGAACCCAGAATTTGCAAACTTTGGGGCAGTTCTTATTTAAGTGGATTCCAGTATTTTTAATGCCAAAGGAAATCCAGATATTATCACATCGAGAAGACCAATTACAGCCAACAATTAGGTCACCCTGGCAATAGCAACAGAATCAGAATAGCATCAAAGACAAACTAGATATTGATGTACAGTAAGTACCAATAATGTACCATCCTTAACTAGAGAAGAAGGATGTATACAGAAATACTGACAGACACCAGTATTTATAAATATCTACTAAATTCAACTATACCTATGCTAACAATAGAAGATAATTCAACAGTAAGAGCACAGTTAACTAAGATTAATAAAGCTTAATCTTTATACTAGTATACAAGGGGTGGGAGCATGGGAGAGAAAAATTTCAAAAACTAGGCAGTGAAAGGAGTAAAGAGTGAGAAAAGAATCCTAGTAAGGACTAAAAGATTAACAAATAGCATTAGATAAAAGTATCTGAAAAAAACAAACAAGAAAAAATAAACAATAAAGAGAAAATATTAAAAGGAAAATTAAAAAAGTCTACTTTCCTCCCCTAATGTAAGGCAGAAGGAAAAAATGAGTCAAAAAAACTCCCCATTTTCAAATTTTATTTTAGTGTATTTCCAAGATCTGCAGTTTTGGAATTCAGCAAGTTACTGTTTTCTCTACCTCGCTCTACGGCTGTGGGCTTGTGAGATGCCTCCCTGCTCTCCAGGCCCGTTTGTCCATACACCCAAGCTGTGGCAACCAACCAAGCTGAGGCATGTCCTTGCTCATACTGACAGACAGGGAAAGCAGTCAGACCACCTAACTCTGTGCCAGATGAAGGCAGTAAGGTGGGAGTTCGAGCAGACCAGAGAACTTAATGTCAGTATGTTATGAATCTTAAAGCGCTGGTATTCAGGCAGGGAAAGCCACATTTAGTCTCATTTCTCATTATAGGGTGCGGGACTCGGAGGCTGTGGCCTTCCCTGCCCGAATTTAAACTTCTCCTGTGGTCTGCATCTAGGTGGCACCCTCTTCATGACTATCTCTTATGCAGTCGCTGTGGCAAGGTGACACTGAAAACCCTGTGGCTCAGTCTTAAACTATTATGCACCCGTCTTCACCACTGCCTTTTGGAGTCTGCCACCAGGCTTCCAGCAGACTCTTCAGGCTTCCAGTGCAGGCTCTTCAGCTGTCCAAGGCAGACATTTTGGCGTCCTGATATGGACTCAAATGGGACTCTACAGTGAACTCCTGGTCTTTGACTATATCTTCCAGCTCTCCAGTGTGCCAGTGGCCCTTCTGATTTCTTCCACACCTGATTCTGCAGATGGCCACAGTAAACACACACACACATATACAATTTTTCCACTGTTCCTCTAGTAAACCTTAGCTGACATGGTCTCTCCATTCTGATAAGATCCAACTATAAGTTTAATGAAGTATTCCATATTTCTCAGTTTCATGGTTACTCTTCTCTTGCTGCTGAGACAAAATACCCAACACCCAAAATTAAGGAAGGGAAGGTTTATTTAGCTCACAGTTGGTGGAGTTTCAGTCCATAATCAGCTGGTTCCAGGGTAGAGTGGCACATGGGAAGGGCAACAGTTCATGGTGGCAGAAAACAGTAAAAGCAACAAGAGCAAAAAGGGGGAGCAGCAAGCAGCCTCTTTCCCTCCATTATGGAAACTACCCAGCCCACGGTGGGTGTAGCACTCACCCCCATAATCCCAGCAGTGGACCACTGATTAATCATAAACTCTAGAAGCCCACACCCATGACTGCATGAGGCCTGAGGGGACATCTAGACACAAACCATGACACTCAGTTTCTAGCATCAGAGTAGTAAGTAGGTGACATGTTCATAAATGAAGCCATTCCATTTGAGAAATATCAATTTAGATAGACTACCACACTGAAAAGAAAAAAAATGTTAATATGCCTATGAAATTCCTATTACATGAAAAAGAACATGGTACAGAACACTGCATATGTTATGCTATCATGTGTATAGGGAATTACTGAAAACTAGTATATATAGGAATTAAAACTCTGGAAAGACTAACAAGAAATGAGTATCATTTTTTTTCTGAAGGGAAGAAAACAGGAGAGTGGTAGAAGGGAGACTCAATTAAAAATGAAAAAATGTTGACCATGAGAGATGACATGGCACAGGCTAAAAATATTCTTTACCACACACAAAAGAAATAGTTTTGTGCATTTTATTTAACAAATTTAGGCCATAAAAACTTAAATCTCTTTGATACACTGTGTTCATGTATCTCAGCCTAAAGTAAATGTTTGCTGAGAAGTTTGTTTTCTTAAGTTTCTTTTGAAATTCTCAATCATCTTCTCCTTTTTACATTAGGATTATACCTGCAAATAAAAAAACTGACATTTAGACAAGACTTTTTTTTTTTTTTTTTTTTTTGGTCTTTTTGAGACAGGGTCTCACTATGTAGTTCAGGCTGGCCTTGAACTCACTTTGTAGCCTAGGCTGGTCTTCAACTTGCAAAGATCCTCCTGCCTCAGTCTCCCGAATGCTGGGATTACAGGCATGCACCACCACGCTCAGCTGAGGTTTTATTTCTTTTACTTATAAAAATACTTTGGGAAACAGAATGCAAATTTTGTCCTCAAAATCAGATCATAAACACTGACAATTCTATATTTTTATTTACAGTGGTACCTCAGTTCATGAACGCTTTTGTTTGCAAACAGGTGACTAGACTGATAAACAACCACAGACATCTTTCCCACACAAATGTGGCCATCTTTTTTTTGGTTTTTTTTCCGGTACCGGGAATCGATCTCACGACCTTGCGCTTGCCAGGCAGGTGCTGTGCTGCTGAGCTAAATCCCCAGCCCCAAATGTGGCCATCTTTTCCAAAATCATAGAACAAAGTAAATTCACGAACAGAGGTACCACTGTACTCCCTTGATGTTGCTTCAATGAATATTTGGTAAATATAGAATATAATCAACAAAAATTGCATAAAGCATCAAAATAATTAAAACAACAGTTTAAAAACTGAATGTGGTTTTACATCTTCTCATGCCACCCCATACTCCAAATTAACGTATACCTTTTACATAAAAGACCATAATAAAGCTAAACTAAACTTACTTTACAAAATGTTCTTCTATAACAATTAAACAAATATAGGTGGACAGCCAGATAATCTCATTTGACTACTTGTAAAAAATCAGGCTGAGTATGGTGGTGCACATATATCATCTCAGCACTCAGGGGACTGAGGCAGGAGGATCACAAGTTTAAGGTCAGCCTGGGCTACATAGTGAGTTCATGGCTATCCTGAGCTACACAGTGAGACCCTGTCTCAAAAAAAAGTTGGTATTTTCTTTCAACATTTTCATCAATAATTTACACTGTTACTAGAAAATAAAAATTTGGCTGGAAAATGTTTAATATATGTGCTGCTGACATGAACACACAGAAAATATTTCAAAGTATAGTACTTCTTTAAGTTTGGAAAAATATTACTGTCTTTTAGTATTTGCCTCTAATGGTGTTTTACTGGTTAATTTTTAAATATGTATTAATATTTGAGAGACAATTATTGTAAGATCTGTTCGGCTAGAATGCTAAAAATGTATTAAATGAGAATTAAATCATAATCATTCATTAAAATTCCATTAAAAACTCCCAGGAAAACCTGCTTTAAAACTCTAATGTAGCCTTTTGTTTTTATTCACGTGTCAATTAAATCTAAACAAAGGTCTGGCATTTTACTTGTTTCAATTAAAAGTCAGTTCATCCATAATTCTTCTCAGAGCTGAAAAATCTCACAAGCTTTGTAACTCAAATTCACCCAGTTTAAGAATTTTTGTCAAAATGCCCCTTTCCAAATTTTAAGTATCTTATATGATACAACTGAACCAAACCTTAAACAAGATGCTCTATGCAGGAAACCCAGTTAAGAGGTGCTCAAGTAATAAAAAGAACAGAACAGACATATTAAAAACAAAATATTCCTTCGGTGAAGGAATTCTCTAAGATAGAAGAAGCAAATATCTAGTATGTATGAACAGAACTTGAATTATACAATATCTCTCAAGGGCACGTGAAAAAGCGGAAATCAAACTTTACCTAAACAGATCATCAGCAAGAGACTCTTCCTTTGCATGTTGCTTTTGTACCTGTCAAAATGAACAAATTCAAATATTTGCTTAGTGGCAAATATATAATGAAGTACTCTACTGAAGCAAGTTAAAATAAAAATGAAAAGGGAACAAATGCTAAATAAACTGAGGACCATAAAAACACAGTTCTAGAACTAAATTAATTAGAAACAGGTGAGTATCCTAATGCTTAGAAACCAGATTATTCAGACTTCAGATATCAAAATATTTATATAGACATAAATGAAACTGTCTTGTGAGTAGGAGATAAATCTAAACACAAAGTTCATTTATATTTCAATCTTCTATCTACATCTTATACACATAGCCTGAAGCTAATTTAATAAAATATATTAAATAATTTCATGCATGAAACAAAGTTTTACAGTGTGGAATCTTCTGTTTATGGCATTTTACTATGTTGGCCCTCAAAAAGTTTCAGATTTGGAGTATTCTGGATCTCGTATTAGGGATGTTCTACCTGCAGTATTTTATTTTATTTTGTCTTTTTGAGACAGGGTCTCACTATGCAGTCCAAGCCGGCCTTGAGCTCACTTTGTAGCCCACGCTGTTCTCAAACTCACAATAATCCTCCTGCCTCAGCCTCCCAAGTGCTGGGATTACAGGAGTGCGCCACCACGCCTGGCATTATTCTCATTCCGTGCAGGAGGAAAAAGAAGTGTAAAGTGAGGTAATCCACTAAACTATCATATAGGTATGAAGAACAGAACCTGAATTATACACATATAATTATACATATATACCTGGGACAATACTTTGTGATGCTGTGATAGAATTTAGGAAAACTACAATGAATGCAGGAAAAAAGGCAGAGGGCAAAGGTGAGCCAACACAAAGATAGTTATGCCTTACATGCAGAGACTAAGCCAGATGTGGTGGCTCACACCTGTAATCCCAGCACTCAGGACGCTGAGGCAGGAGGATCACTGCAAATTCGAGACCAGACTGGGCTACAAAGTGAGCTCAAGACCAGCCTGAACTGCATAGTGAGACCCTGTCTCAAAAAAGACCAACAACAACAATAACAACAAAATGCACACTCAAGAAAGTGAAAAAGGATTTAAAATATATAATAGAAAAGTTTCTTGAGAGGACAAAGAACCTCACCTGCAACTCAAAATGGCTTATAGGATTTCAGGAAAAACTCATGAAAATAATCAAAACACTAATACACAAGGTGTGACTGAAAGATACAGTGATGCTTAAATTAAAAAACCATTACAGCAAAAGACACTGCTGGCAAGAACGATGGCATGTGTTCAAAGCAAGGGAAGAAGTATTCTGAGTATTCTGACAGGGATTAATGACAGTATCTTTTACTATAAAAACATTTTAAATTTAAACATTCACTGTGATTTCAGGGTATCCTCATCTACCTCATGCACTGGATCTGGCAGCATGCAACTTCTGGGTCATAACCAAAAGTCAAAATGACCATGAGAGGTAAATGTTTTAAATCGTTTTAGAATACCCAGGCAGTCACAGCAGTACAACTAAAGACATGGGAAAAAGAAAAAGATGTCCAGAGTGCTTCAGAAAGAGGCAAGAACGATGAGCTAAGTGCAATTAGAGTATGGAGGATATTTTGAGGGGCATTAGTGGCCATGTGTCTTTTGCTATAGTAAATGAAAAAAATTAAAGTCACCATTGAAGAAACATTTATGCAAATCCAGCAAGACCTTCAGTTTAATTTCCTGCTATTATTAACCTCATCCTTTCCCTCCCAAGTCTGTATCTCCTCATGTCTCTCAATAAAGATGTTTAGAAAATCATTCACTTCATGTTTATTCAGTTAATTTTGGGGCGATTTCTGTGTACTGCCACAATTCTCTGGAATGTAATTTATAAAATAATAAAGCCAATTATTCTTTCAAAAATGAGAAGAGAGGATGTAACTTTTGGCTCTCATTTTGATAGTAAATCTGAATGACCTTTTTTTTTTTTTTTGGTCTTTTTGAGACAGGGTCTTGCTATGCAGTTCAGGCTGGCCTTGAGCTCACTTTGTAGCCCAGGCTGGTCTCAAACTCACAATGATCCTCCTGCC